AGATTACCAATCCCGTAACTTGGAAATCCGTTGTGGTGTTAAGAAGATGTCTGACCGTGAAAAAAAGTATGTTCACTGTCTCAACTCTACTCTCTGTGCTACTGAAAGAGCTCTTTGTGGTATTTTGGAAAACTGGCAACGTGAAGATGGTTTGGAAATCCCTCCTCCTTTAGTCCCTTACATGGACGGCAAGACTTTTATTCCTTACACAAAACCCAGACCTGCTGCTAAGAAATAAACCACTTTTTATTATTATTATTCAGTACGATCCAATAACTGAGACAAGGTTTGATGAACTTTGGCTAAATCATCAGCTACTTGAGCTTGACCATCATGTTCATAAGGGTCATCGTTAGCATCGTTCTTGTTACGGTCATCAATGATGCCTTCCTTGTATTGAGCATCAATCTTTGAGAGTCTTTCTTGTAACCCTTGAATTTCTTCAGAAGAATATTTTTTCTTTTGAGTTAGACTTCTGCTTTCTTTCAAGATTTGTTGAAGTTCATTGTGAATTTGTTCTTTATAATATTAGCAAGAAAGTTGGTTTTTTATTCTTACTTACCGAGATCTTTTTGCATAGGCATGTTGAGTAATATAGAATGAAGAACACACGCTACCTTTACTGCTTTAAATAGTTTTTTGTTTTTTTCTGTTGAGAATATTCATGCTAATCATGAACCCTTGCTTTATTCGAAAATTCTGTCACACATGAAACAAACAGGCTTCTTCTTTTTATGCGCATAAATGTATTTATTTATCTCATGTTTCAATCTGCCTTTCAAGACGATCAAGGCGCTCACGCAATGTATTAAGCATATTGTGGTATTCTTGTGGGCCAATATCATTTTGAGACCGAACAATCGTGGGTGGCGTCTGCAGTTCTTCAGACAAGTCTGTATGATCTCGTCTTTTTTCGGAAAAGGCAACTAAATCCTCAGCAGCGGCACGCTCTTCTTTTGTAGCACTTGGCAGGGGTGAAGGCAAAGAATTGTGGGATGATTCTTGCTTTTGTTTTTTTGTGGGTCGATCAATAAGTCGTGACTCAAGTGCTTCTATACGATGCATAAGGCCATCCATCGTCTGTTCTACTTGAGACATCAATTCCCATTGTACTTCTTTGACTTGATTTCTAACCAGCCCTTCAATTGTAGTGGCTGATGCTTGTAATGTTTGCATAAGTGAGGATGAGCGTCTGATTTGGTCATCCAATGTGGTCTTTAATGTACGGGTTGTTTCAATTGTGTCAAACAAGTGTTCAAATGGCTGAAGATATTGCTGTCGTTGAAGGGCAGCAAATGAATTAGTGGTAGGTGTCTTGGGAGGTAAGGGCACACTGGCAGCATTAACAGCAAGCTGCTCGTTGGCTCTTTGCTTAGATGCAAGGCTATACGTGGTAGAAGTGGCAGTAGGTGGTGGGTGAGGTTTGGCATGGGGATGGTGAGAACCATACAGAGAAGGGGATGCAATGTATTGAAAGGATATGTTTTCACGACTTGTAGGATGAGCAGTATGAGGTTGTTGTTGTTGCTGCTGCTGTTGTTGTTGTTGTTGTTGTTGAGAGGGAACAATAGGTGGAATAGCAAACTCATGTCTTCGGGGTGATGCTTGATGATTAAAAGGAGCAGTACGAGCAATAGTAGCTGAAGCAGGTGCAATAGCATGTAAAGTAGATCCATTCAAGTGCCCATGATTTGTACTACTAGCTATCATTGGTAATAAGTATGACAAGATGATATATATATATTTTTTTTTGTTTTTACCATAATGGGATCTGTGTGGATGTTGATAAGGGTGATGTTGCTGTACTTGTTGCATTTGTTGTACTTGTTGATGCTGGTGTTGGTGCTGGTGTTTTTGTGTAGCAAAATTAGAATGAATAGGTGCAGATCGTACACCTGCCAATTGTTCATGATACGAAGGTGCAAAAATGGTCAAATTAAGTGAGTTTTTATGCTTAATAGATAGTCTTTTCTTATTTTGATCAACAGGCTCGTTTTTTTCTAAAGGTGAGTATGTATTCTGAGTCTTACGGAGCTGTTTTGATACAGGCCTTTTCTCTTCATTACTATTGCTGACAGTGACTCTCTGTCGTTTGATTGGTGGGCGTCCCAGATCCATCATACTACTCGCACATCAATATTCCTTTTAAAACTCTCATTGTGGTATTACCTCTGTCTTCGAAGTTCAGTGGAACTCAATAATACCTTGTCTAAAGCCATCGCATTTCTTGTCTCGGCCACAACTTGACTTATGGGTGGTGGCGAGGTTGGCTCTGTCTTGATCAACTTCTCTCCTTCTCTCTCGATAATACCCTCGAGGCTTTCAAGGGCAGTTGAACAGACTCCCATATATGTTCTTCCTTGGGAGCTCTTTTGAACTTGGGGAAAGTTTGAAGGATAGGATCAGCAAGGCCAATGTTGTAGTCATCAGGCTTAAGTTTACAAAGGTCGGCTAATAAAGGGCGGTTGTGTTGGTACGACAAGTCTTCTAATACTTTTGTGTTCAAGTAAGTGTCTTCATGATCTCGATAACAATTTTTCCAGCTTCCTTTTTCAAAGGAAATTGAAGGAAGGTCAAATAAAGGTTCAATATCTGATAGTCTATAGAATAAAGTATCTGTTTCTGGTAAACGAAACAAAATCAAAGGCTTATTATGATCAGAATATCTTCCCAGCAATTGACTAAGCACTTTCATTGTTAGACAACAAGAAGAAAGAAAAAAGATTAATTAAATTAATAAGTGAAAAAAAAGGGGGGAAAGAACAAATCAAAGCCCCCGCTGTCTTTTTATTATTTATAACTCGTATTTGATAAGTACTTGTTCTTCAATCTTATCCACAGGAGCACGCTTGCCTGTCCAAATCTCGAATTGAGCAATGCCCTGAGAGATCAAAACTTCAATACCTTCTACGCAAGACCATCCCTTACGTTCAGCTTGTAAAAGCAACTTGGTGCGACGAGGCTTATAGGCCATATCACAAATAATGCCCTTGATACCACCATAGATATGCTCAGGCAATTCAACACCAGAATCAGCAGGAACAGTGGAAATAATCACACTGGGCTCAATCTTGGATTCCAACGAATCAACCACTTCAATATCAATCACATTTTCAAAGGCCTTTTGAAGGTCGTGAGCTTTACCAATGGTTCTGTTCCATAAATAGATTTTCTTGATGCCAATCTTGTAGAGCGTGTACAAAGCTGCACGGGCAGTACCACCAGCACCAATAACGAGGCCTTGCTCGGGTGGGTTGCTGGGATCCAACATCAAAGACTGAATACGATGTTTCATACCCAAGTAATCTGTGTTCTCACCAATCAATTGGCGCTTCTTCTCACCATTGATCATGGTTTCACGAACAAAAATAGTGTTGACAGCACCAATGGTCTTTGCGTTCTCGGTCATTTCGTCAAGATACTTCATAATAGCCACCTTGTGAGGAATCGTGACAGAAGCACCGCCAAAGCTAGGATCCTTCAAAATAGCATCTTCAGCATACTCCACCATATGGCATTCTAAAAGACCATAGTTGTGAGGAAGACCCAGGATATTGAATCCAGTGTTATGAAGAGTAGGCGACATGGAGTGTTGAATGGGTGTACCAATCAACCAGAAAGATTGAGCAGGCAAAAGACCAACAAGGTGGCGAGCCTTGTTGATTTCAGCCAAAGAAAGTTGACCAGGAGCAGCCTTTTGAGGAAGAGCAGGATGAGTGATGGGCGTCAAGCATTCATTCATAACACGGGACAGTTGCCCAGCAGCACCCATATTGATGGCAATCAAATCCTTGCCACCCTTCTTGGTGTCACGGAACGTCTCTAATATCATGTTGTCTTGGAAGCTTTGAGCATTACCCACTAACTTGATGATATCACCGTACTTATCACCCAATTCGTACTTGACTTGAATTTCTTTACCGTCCCAAGGGGTGATGTTTTGAACATCGTGCCAGGAGGAAATAATAAGACTTTCACCCTTGTTGGCAACAAACTTTTCAATCGTAGCAGGAGACCAGCACATTTCAACATCGACATACTCACAACCCCAGCGTTGGCCCCAGCTAAGCAAATCAAACATGCCAGCTTCATCGTCATCAGGGAAAGCACCTGCTTGACCCTTTGATCTAACAGTAAAGATAACAGGAATAGAGACAGTACGACGTAAAAGAGCAAGTTGTTCTCCTACATATTCAACCCAAGTCATTTCTTCCTTGGATTCAGGCTTCTGCAACAAATCGACACGCAATTCAACTGCATCAGCACCTTCGCAAACTTCTTTCAAGCTGTCAAGTGTGGAACTAAGGTCCTTGGCAGTCAATGAGACAAAAGTAGTGGGTACACCAACACGACCAGGAGTGGTATCTACTTGGTTAGTGGCACGACCCGTGATAAAGTTAAGGAAACGCTTGAGATCCTTTTGGATGGCCAACCATTCAGTAGGAGCAACATAACCATCATCTACCAAGCTACGAGCATAGGCAACAAATTCATAATTACACACTTCCTTGTACCAAGAACGACGACGACGCCATACATTCATCATGTCTTCACCATACATAGGACGAGTCTTGTCACGGTTCAAGTAGCGCACAATTTGATCCAAATCGCGCACTAAATGCAAAACCTTACCACCCTTCTTGACATGCTCTTTCAAGACAGATCGAGATTCAGCAGTCTCAACGATACCACCACCACAAGAAATCACATAACCTTGACCGTACTTGGAGTCATTGGCTAACAGTTGCTTCAAGGCCTCAGTTTCCTTGATACGGAATTGCTCCCAGCCCCATGTATTGATGAAATCAAAAATAGTGCTCTTCAAGGTCTCTTCAAAATACTGATCCACATCGATGAACTTGAAGCCCAAGACTTCAGCAGCGTATTGTCCAAGTGTAGTTTTACCTGCGCCACGCATACCGACAATGACCATAGAAGTATCATCGTTCTTCTTCTTGGAGACCTTGATGTTGGTATGACCCAAACCCTTGCCTGCTTGAGCCAATCGCTTGCCTTGATCAACACCGTTCAAACGAACACCGAGTTTGTTTTCAAGGTCATCCCACCAAGTAGGCCAGGTCTTTTCAACACACTTCTTGTCAGTGATGATGGTGCCATGAGGAACAATGGTAGAAAAGACAGAGAAACTCATGGCGATACGGTGATCGTCATAAGTATGAACACCTTCTTTAGGAGCCTTCAAGTCCTTGATGGGTTTACCATGTATTTGAATACCGTCAGGTAACTCAGATGCTTGAACGCCAAACTTAGTAAGTTCGTGCACCATAGCAGCAATACGGTTGCATTCTTTGACACGTTGATTGGCAATACCATGAATGCGAGTGATGTTTTCGCCCTTGGGGTCAGCAGATGAAGTGACGGCAGCCAAGACGGTGGCAGTTAAAAAGGCGTCTGTCATGGTTTCCATATCAATTTCAGGAAGAGGGCGAAGTTGGCCAATAGGAGGACCAGTAACAGTAGTTGAGGTTTCGGTCTGAACAACAGTGCAGCCCATAGGACGAAGGACATTGATGGCAAAGGTAGCATCACCTTGAAGAGAGCTAGAACCAATACTGGTGACAGTGCAAGTAGTACCAGTGATAGCAGCAATAGCTAGAGGATAAGTAGCAGAACTAGCATCAGATTCAACAAGGTAATGTTCAGGGTTTTGGTAAGTGGATTGCTTGATTCTGTAGGTATTTTCGGGAAGACGTTCAACCACAGCACCAAAGGATTCCATCATGGCAATGGTCATGTCAATGTAAGGTTGAGAAATGACTTGACCACCAGTCAATGCAAGTTCGACAGGCTCAATAGCGTAAGGAGCACAGAGCAGAATGGAAGAGACATATTGTGAAGAAATAGAAGCAGCTAATTCAATGCGACCGCCCTTAAGGCCACCGTTGGGTGTAACAGCGATAGGTAAAAAGCCTTCCTTTTCCGTAGATTTGATGCTGGCGCCATTGGCCATCAAAGCGGTCAAGAGAGGGGCAATAGGTCTCTGTTTCATACGAGCATTACCAGTCAAGATAGCAGCAGGAGCCTTGGCACCTTCAGCAGTAGGAATCATGGTCAAGACAGTTGTTAAGAAACGAGAAGCTGTACCAGCATTGCCGACATAGAGTTCTTTGTCAGGAACAGAAAGTCTACCGCCACCACCGTGAACAACAAGAGTTTCGCCATTATCTTCCCATTCAAAATCAGCAGCATTAAGGCTCTTTAAAGCAGCCAACATGAACTGGGTGTCATCTGAGTGAAGCAAGTTCTTAACACGAACAGTACCTTTACCCAGTGCAGCGATAAGTAAAGCACGGTTAGAAATAGATTTGGAACCAGGTGTGGTCAAAGACACTTCCTTCTTGGGGCCTGTAGGTGATTCAGTGACTGGAAGTACAAGTTGTTCAGGAGACAACACTTTGTGAATATCGGCATCGGCAATAACAGAAGCGCGAGGCTCTAAGGTTTTGCCGATGGCTGAAAGCATAACAATACGCTTCTTGTCACCTTGGTTCTTTTTGTCTACCTTCATGATTTCCATAATATCATCAACATGGCAATGAAGGTTACCAATTCTGTCCTTGACCTTCTTTTCGTCTAAACTGATGGGTAATCCATAAGATGCAAAGCAGCGAGCCAAACGGCCAACTGCAACTTGATTGAGGTGACCCAAGTTACGAGCTAATTCAGCTTCTTTGATACAACCAATAGAAACACATTCACCGTGAAGCATCAAGGGAGACACAATGGCTTCAATACCGTGACCGATAGAATGACCAAAGTTCAAAAGGCCACGAAGACCGCCTTCTCTCTCATCGCTTGTGACAACGTAAGCCTTGAATCGAACAGAAGCCAAAACAACATCCATAAGCATAGACTGAGATTCAGTACGGGTCTCCAAAGTAGCACCTATAGGATATGTAAATTACTTCTTTCCAAGATCAATCACCATCCTATACAAACCTTGGTTAAGGACATTTGAGGCTTTACCCAAGACAGCATCACGAATGGCTTCAACGCCATTCTCGAGCTTATTGAAATCGTTTTCATCTGAGATGGCGGCAGTCTATATTATTGTTAAATTTTGTTGTAACACAGAATACGCATTTACCTTAATAAGTTCTGCCATACCATTCGAAAATTCACGTTCAGGCAAAGTACGCAAAAAGTTGATATCGATGAAAATACGCTTAGGTTGCCAGAAAGCACCGATCAAATTTTTACCGGCAGGTACATCAATAGCTGTTTTACCACCAATAGATGAATCAACCATAGCTAACAAAGTAGTAGGGATCTGAATAAAAGGCGCACCGCGCATAAAAGTGGCAGCAACAAAACCAATAAGATCGCCAATAACACCACCACCCATAGCCAAAAAGCAAGTATCTCTAGTGACGGCATTGGAGAGAAGCCAATCTTCAATATCAGCCTTTACTTTACGTGACTTGCTCATTTCTCCTGGAGGGAGAACGCGAGAGAAGAAGCGAGGTTCTTTTTCTCCTTTAGCAGTATAAATTTCTTGACTGACTGACTTGAGTGCATTCATATACTTGTCCAGATAAATGGGAGCCAAGTTAGTATCGGTTATAAGAACATAGTTAGAAGCGGGAATATTAGTCAAGACGTCGCGAGCAAGGTATTCAGTTAAATGAAAACCGACATGGATCGATTCTGATCCAAGGATAGAAACCTTGGCAACATCATTTTTTGATGAAGCCATTCTTGAAAAAAAAAAGCAAACAAAGAAGAAAAGTGTCAAAGAGGGGAGGGAGGGGGATAAATATGCTGATTATGAATTTGATGAATTTGCAAATATGACTCAGTGAAGGATTTCGAGTCACGGTTGGCCCAGGTTTCAATCCAATAAAAACTATTGAAAGAGACTATTGTTACACCCATAGCTTAAATAAAACCTGTCAACCAAGTATGCGATTTTTGTTAAATAAATTTAGTTGCATTTTGAAACATTTTAGTGAACATTTTGGATCTCTTTGCTGCACTAAGGAGTACAAAAGACAGGAGTCTATACTCATGGATCAAATTAGAAAAGATATACATTAATTGGTTCAATGCACTACGAATATAGTACTTGAGCCAAATCAATTCACTTGTAATATTTTCACCAGCCTATAAAATAGTCATGTTACGATTGTTCTTTTACCAAAAAAAAAAAAAAAAAAAAAAAGAAAAAAAAAAAAACACAGCATTTCTAAATTCGTGACGTTACTCACAATGTATAGCTGTTTATTTTTTTTCTTTTCCTCTCATTTCTTTTTCTTTTTAATACACGATGCAAAATCAACCTCAAATGTTTCAACAACATCCAGGGGTGATTCCTGCTGCTGGAGGCATTATGCCTCCACAAGGAATACCTCCACAGGGAATTCCTCCACAAGGGATACCACCACAGGGAATACCACCACAAGCTATGCCCTTAGCAGGTGGTTTACCTTATAGAAAAAGACCTAGTGAAGCAGACACTCTTTCAAAGCATATCAAGTAAATAAAGAGCAAACGTATTTGCTTCTTTTGCTTATTATTTGTTTTTGATAGGAAAAAGAGACCTACAGATAAAAATATGCCTTCTGCCGTATGTACTCAAACCTTGCACGCGTCTTCTTTTGCTAAATACGCGTTTGTATAGATTGAATCTTTTGTGCCAGAATCTAGGTTTTACTCTGAACTTGTTGATTTTGAAAAGAAGTTAGATACAACTATTATGAGAAAGAGATTAGATATTCAAGAAGCTTTAGGCAAGCCTATCAAGGTACAATATAATTTCTTATGTGTGTGTGTGTGTTTGTGTGTGTTTCTGATTATGTCTAGGTACGCCGTATACTTCGCCTCTTTGTTTCCAACACAACTTCCAGTAGCACATTCAACCTAGAAGATGAAAATGCATTTGATTTAAACAACGGCAACGTACCTTCTTGGACGTTGAAAATTGAAGGCCGTTTGTTGGATGTAAGTGCATTTAATCTTGTTCGCCATTAATGTGTTTCTTCAGCCTACTTCTCCTGAAAAAACCGATCAATCTGCACCCAAGTTGACCAGCTTCTTTCGCTCAGTTGTGATTGAACTAGAAAGAGATCTGAATATGTACCCCGAAGGCAACTTGATAGAAGTAATTCTAAAGATCACTTATTATCATGCGTATTAATTCATTTTTTTTCAGTGGCAAAAACAACCCAATGTACCTGAATTCGATGTTATACAAGTCAAAAGAAAAGGAGACATTGATGTTAAAGCCAATATTATGTTACATCTCGACCACAATCCACAAAAATTCAAATTGAGTCCTGCCTTGGCTGATTTACTAGATGTCAAGGTAGAAACAAAACCGCAAATTGTTATGGGCATTTGGAATTATTGTAAAGTAAGTAATGGACTACGCCTAGAATGCAATTTAAACAAAGTTGTAGTATCATAAGCTTCAGGATGTTGAAGACAAGAGACTCATTCGATGTGACAATCGCTTAGCTCAGGTAAACATGACAAACGCATGAACAATAGCTAATCAAAAATACAGATATTTGGATATCCTCAGCTTCACTTTTCACAACTTCCTGAATTAATCATACAACACTTAAGTCGACCTGATCCTATTGTTATTAACTATACCATCCGTGTTGATAAGCCATTCCATCAATCATCCAAAGCATACGATATCGAAGTAGAACTCGACAGCCCTGTCCGCCAAAAGATGATACATGTTGTTTCCTCGACACAGACACAAAAAGAAATTATGGCATTAGATGACAAGATTATTCAATGCGTTCAAAGTATCAACAACAGCAAGATTAAGCAAGACTTTTTAATGCAGTTTTCAAAAGAACCTGTTGAGTTTATTAACAAATGGATTGCAAGTCAGGCTAGAGATTTGGAAGTCATTTTAGGTGAAAGCAAGACTAATTTGGAAGAAATGAGACAGACTGAATTCTATAAGCAGCCTTGGATGAGAGAAGCTGTATTTCATTATTTAACAACAAAGGTAAACAAAAAAAAAGGGTATTTCAATTCGTTTTAAACATATCATCTAGACACAACAACGCATGCAAGAACTACTTGGTTTCACGCAATAAACAAAGTATACTATATGATAAACATTATATATATATATATATGCATTGAAAATAAGTACTTGTCCTTTATTATTCTTTGGGGTCATTTGTTTCTTCTGCTGCTGGCTAATATGGCGTGAGACACTTTAGACCGTTATAGCTTAACGCAACAGCAGTCTCAATCTTATGTATTACTTCAAGCATGACGCCTTTAAATTATAAAGCTTCTAAAGGGAGTGTCCCTTAAAGAAAATCTGAGTGTGAATTAGTATTCCCATTTCAAAAACTAAAATCAAAAAAATACTCGCAGTTCAAGTGATTATGGAAGATGTCCAACAGTGTTGGATTGAGGCCCGGAATAATTGTCAAAAAGGAGACTATGATTTAACACTGATGCTAGACCAGGAGAAAGCGTATGATCATGTGAATCTGAAGTATCTCAATCAAGTTTTGGTAAAATTTGGATTCCCAGAGTCCATAGTAAACACCATAGGCAACTTGCTTTCCGGTAATCAGATCAAAGTAAATGTCAATGGTTTCTTTACGCCATCATTTGTCAAGAAGCGTGGACTAAAGCAAGGCGACCCAATTTCCCCTGTTTTGTATAACCTTGCATTTGATCCTTTATTACGAGCTATTCTTCAAGACGAAGCGATTGAGGGGTATCAACTAAGAATACGCCCTGAGCTTCGAAATCAAATCACTGTTTGGCCAACCTCAATTGCTACCAAGATTTTGTGCTATACTGATGATGCAATGGTTTTTATACACGATCCTAATGACTTGACACGAGTGATGCAGCATATTGAGCACTATTGTAGAGCATCAAATGCGAAGATCAACTATTCAAAAGTTGAAGCAGTGTCTTTGTCCGGACGCAATTCCTCTTCCTTTTGGCGCCGTCATCTTCAACCGCTGCAAATTGAAAAACTATTTTCCACAGACGATCTACAGTCTGCAATATACTTTGGCTTTCCTCTCATTCAGTCAATTGCTCAACGACAGAATTTTTTCGAAGCTCTGTTTGTCAAGATTCAGTCTCATTTCCAGGTGCATTCGGGTAGATCGCTTTCGTGTGTAGGACGTGCCACCATCACCAACACATTGATCCTATCTAAATGCTGGTACTTATGTCGAGTCATTCCTTTCAGTACACAAGAGCTGTCTCGTATTAGATCATTGGCAAGTCAATTTTTGAATAGACAGATTGTCCCTCGAATAGCTTGGTTAACATTGGTACTTCCGAAATACAAGGGTGGATTGGGTATATTGGGCCCTCTGCTACAGAGAGACGCACTGTTTTTTCGCTGGACTTTTTCTTTGCTTTTGAATCACTCTTCAGCACATTGGCTGAAAATTATTCGGCATCATATGCATAATGTCCCAGGGGCCTCACATGTACAAGTTCCTTTGCTCTTCCCATCTACAAGAAAATTTATAAATCGATCCAATGGTGCCACTAACAAAGTCAGTACGATTCAACTGCTTTATGCGTCTATAGATAGACTTCCTAGAAACTTTGATACTATGGAGTTCAATCCAGCAGTTTATATGGTACTACCAATCTATGTGGTTATACATTATACGAATGCTCAACGACCTTTTTTGCCTCCTGCTATGCGTCAAATCCAAGTTAATGACCTCATGGTGTACGATCATTTTGCCAAGCTTATTCTTTGGAAGTTCCCTCAAAATATCCCCGAAGAGTTGCAACCAATTCAACAGAGGTTAGTTCGTGGTTTAGCAAGAAGGAGTATAGGTGTCGCTCCCTTTTTTCAACACCATTTAGCGATATCTTCTTCCTCCAATATCATCTCTTCAGACATACATGCAGGATTCAGCTTTGCCTCTTTTCTGAACTGCTTTGCTGTTTTATCTACCAAGAGCCCGAGCGATGGGATCAGCTCTAAGGTATATCGAATGACTTGCTTGGATTCTTATCCTGCCCCTTCCTCCCTGTCAGCCATTTCCTCTACTTTTTGGGACTCATTTTGGACATTGTCCCTTACCACCGTTGTGCGGAATGTGGTGTATAGATATATAAACTATAAGCTACCTACAACGATACGTATGAATCGTTTCTTGCCTGAACGATTTCCAACTCCTTTATGCCAAATTTGTGGTCTCTATTCTGAAAATGACAACCATATGCTCTTTTTATGTCCTCCAAAAACACATTTTTGGAAAGAGCTTATATTTGAATTTTTATGGCCAACCACTACTGTTGATGATATCATACAAGTAATCCGATATATGAACTTCCATTCTATTTGTTATACTCAGAATAGTGAGTTAGCTGCTCAAGAAATAGTATTCCAAGGCATGGGTCAAATTTGGAAAGCCCATTGGAATACTATCTTCAATGAAATTATGTTTAATCCAATTCTACTTCTTTCATCCACTTGTACTTCTCTCAATTCTCTGATTGACGAGAAACACTTGCACAAATGTTTATAATTAATTACTTTATGTATTCTCTCTTTATACCTCTTAAAATTGCGACCACCTCTTGACAGACTTTAGTCATAGTCTACGTGGAGCAAAAAATAAAAACCTTTAAAAAAAAATAAAGGAATCCAGAAATTCAAGAGAAATGATGGACTAAAAGCTATAAAAAAAAAGTGCCTTAACAAAGCTAATAAACGCAAATGAGACACATCAAATAATATAAAGAAAGTAGCATGTTGAATATCAAGATAGTGAGATATCTTTCAAAAACATATTTTCTGTTTTTGAGTTGTAGTGTACAGTTTTTATGCTACTTTAATGTTTTGAGGGTGTTTTATAGGCCTAGAGAAGCAATTCTTACTAAGGTATGTTAAATAAAAAATGTCTCTATCGATCACTAATCGGAAAATAGTGAAGACTTCTTCAGGGATCATAAGGGCAAAATGACGATTTTTGACTTTTTCAAAACTTGCTCTATTTTTGCATGAATATGTTCTTTTATGTGTGCTCAAACATAAGAAACTCAAAAAAAAAAAGGGAATTAGAAGGTAAAAATGATGGGTTACTTTGAAAAACACTCGCGTCTGCAGTGGGCTGCCAATACACTTTTGGTACTATTATGCATATCAATTTTATCCAAAGATGAGTTATAAAAAAAGTTAGTGTATAAACTAAGATGGTATAACAAGCTTGATGTTCGAAAAAGACATAGATTGAGGATCAAAAGCATGTCAGGTGTGTAATGTAGCAAATAGAATCAAAAGTTATATGAATATTGATGTTATGCTGACATGATGTGTTGAGTTATAGCTTATTGAAAGATAAAATCTTGTAGCAATATGTAAATATTGGAGTGGATGGAGTGTTCCCCTTGTCTATTAATAAGATGTAGCCTTCGAATAACTTTGTATTGCCTTATATTTATTTTGAGAAAACTCATATTGTTAGTGTTTATAGTTAGACTACTGATTGAGCATTATTGACTGTTTCCTTAGAAATGCCGTTTGACACTAACAGTACTTTATCATAAGGGTAAAAGGATTTTTTGTTTTGGCAGAGGAATGCTATCTGTCTCATTTCCCAAGACAAGCAGACCTTAATTGCTCCTGAAGACCGGAAGGATTACAAAAGCTTTTAAACGTTTTTCCAGATCAAAGACAAAGAACAGTATCACTTTCCTTTCTTGAATTGACTCTAGGATACCATGAGTTTATGTTACTTCAAAACAAATGAACACCGACGTGTTTCGTGTCAATGACTTTGAACTACGCGCCGATATTCACATGAAATATGAATTATGAGCACAAGTCGTGAGAATTTTAATATCCGGTTTTTTCCACTATTTTCTCTTTGTGTTGTCTCTTTGTAGAGTATAATCTTTTTATTATTCGAGAATAATAATATAGACACTTTTTTCTACGTAGAGAATAGAGTATCATACGTGTTAATGCAATTTCCTAAGATTGAGAAAAAGGAAGAAGGGAAAGACCGTAAGTTGCCTGATCAACATCTGAAAAAAAGTTATTAATAGCATGTGTACAGTTGAAAGCAAATTCTCGAAAATACACTTGGTCTATAAACAGTCTATCCGATTGGCTATCCCCGGTTTTGTTTTATGAGATTGTGTTGCATCTGGAGGTTTCACACATCAATGATGCATGTTCCTGAGTCTAATTACTTCAAACAGTGCATAGATGTCATACACGATTGCAGGATTTATTTTACAAAAGAAAGAGCCATTACATTTTGGAACGCCATAGCCCTGTTCTTTTTATACAATTTATTTTAGTATGATATAAGAAATTTATGTATCTAAATTGGAAGAAATTTACAAAGCGGCAGCATCAACCTTAGCAGCGTAAGCCAAGAGATCAATGACACGGTTGGAGTAACCGAATTCGTTATCGTACCACTAAAAGAAAAAAAAAGAATGTTAGTGATCCAAATGACATGTGAATGAGTATAATACTTACAGAAACCAACTTGACGAAGTTGGGGTTCAAGGCAATACCAGCCTTAGCATCGAAGATGGAACTGGCGGGGTGACCGACGAAATCAGTGGAGACAACTTCGTCTTCGGTGTATTCAAGAACACCCTTGAGAGCACCTTCAGAGGCTTCCTTGACAACACGCTTGATGTCATCGTAAGAGGCACCCTTTTCCAATCTGACAGTAAGGTCGACAACGGAAACATCGGGAGTGGGGACACGGAAGGCCATACCAGTGAGCTTACCGTTGAGTTCAGGAATAACCTTACCAACAGCCTTGGCAGCACCAGTGGAAGAGGGGATGATATTGGCACCAGCACCACGACCACCACGCCAGTCCTTGTTGGAGGGACCATCGACGGTCTTTTGGGTAGCAGTGGTAGCGTGAACAGTTGTCATCAAACCTTCAACGATACCAAAGTTGTCATTGATGACCTTGGCAAGGGGAGCCAAACAGTTAGTGGTACAAGAAGCGTTGGAGATAACCTTGAGGTCAGAAGTGTACTTTTCGAGGTTGACACCACAGACGAACATGGGGGCATCAGCAGAGGGAGCAGAGATGATGACCTTCTTGGCACCGCCAGTCAAGTGGCTAGAGGCAGCTTGGATGGTAGTGAAGACACCCTATAATGATATGAGCAATCAATTGATTGATGCACATTGGTACTTACAGTGCTTTCAACAACGTAGTTGGCTTCAACGGAACCCCAAGGGATTTGAGCGGGGTCTCTTTCAGAGAAGACAGAGATTTGCTTACCGTTGACAACAAGCTTACCATCCTTGGCTTCGACAGTACCTTGGAAACGACCGTGAACGGAATCGTACTTGAACATGTAGACCATGTATTCCAAGGGGATGAAGGGGTCGTTGATAGCAACAACTTGAACTTCAGGGTTAGAAAGAGAAGCACGGAGGACAATACGACCAATACGACCGAAACTACATGATAGAATGAGTAAAAAACGGTTACAATGGAAGGCAATGTACTTACCCGTTAATACCAACTTGAGTGACCATTTTTAAAATATGTGTATATGAGGAAAAGAAAAGAAAAGAAAAGAAACGCGTAAGTAAAAACTTTCGAGTCTTTTTATATATTTTTTAATCAAGATAAAATCAATAAACACTAATGCTCTTTAAAATAGCCACTCTGTGTTACTTTCCTGCTCAAATATTAGTTACACATTAATAAGCTATCAAGTACGTGAATGAAAATTTTTTGTGACTCAGATCTCTTTTGAGCGACTGAGAAACATCTTATTGGCAGTTATAATTCACTTTTTTAAATTTAAAACGTACCCTACCCCAACTCTTAGATGAATACATGCACATATGATTTAAGCTAATTCTAGTAGATAATGATACTTTATCGTGTAATCTGGAGAAAGCAATAAGCTTATCGGATATACGCGTGTACATTTCTGCTTTGCTTTAGACATCACACCTTTATTTCTCTGCGGTAGTTTGTGTAATGATTTTATCTTTGATAATCAAAGAATGGGACTTGAAAAAATTTTATCGATTAAATCATGGGAAAAGAGAAATGGTTCGCCCATTCAGAAAAGAATCGTTCGTTTTTTTTTTTTTTTTTTTTGAGAAACAGGTCGGTTTAAAGAGTCAAATAGATTCATTTTATATAAATCTTCTTTTTTATTGTTTATCAACTAGTGCTTTTCACGTATTTACAGATTTCAAGAAAGTTCTGAAAATATCAAATTTAGTTTTGATAGTCAGCGTGTTTCATTTTCTTGACTAAATAGATAGCACTTTCTGCCAACACGTCGTCTGTTCTCAGAGTATGGCTTTTGGTCTTTTGAGCAATGGAGTCGAAAAAATGAGAGTAGGAAGGCCGAACCACTCAAAGCTCTTTTTTTTTTCATTGAAAGCCATTATAACGGAAGGTTCCTGGATCGGCATACTATTTACTGCCATACAATAGACATTTATTACAGGCACAGTCAAACCTATAGAATTTGGCGTTTTCTCAAAAATAAATGGCGGAAAGACAATATTAGAAGCAAAATGACCAGTTTAAAGGCTAGAGCAATTGGTCGCTCCTATACATGTAACCTCGATAAAAACCGCTAACCTTGGCAGTAAAGAACAATTCCACAAAAGTTTAGAATGTATTCTTTTATGCTTATTGGACATTATTGATAGCATCATTAAATATTATTGAATCACATAAACATCTCTTTTTGTTACATATATACATGCATTACATAATATATTGTATACACTTCTATGGTTGGTGGCATGAATCCAATCATACACTAATATACTCATCACTAGAAGCGTTCTTGAAAGGCGATCACAAAAGAGAAAAACTGAAAAGAAATATATCCAATGCACACAGAAAAAGAACTGGAAGGAGAAGTATAGCTGACATCGCCAATGAAAAAGGAGAAAGAGAGACAACAGAAGAAGGCGGTAGGTAATTTAGTATATACGAGAAACTTGCAGCCATATAAAAGAAAAAATAATTAAAGTTGAATGTAAACAATATATTACTGTTTCATTGCTCAATTCATTCTGTTCAATAAGTGCTTGAACAGGCTGAGTGATGTGGAAATAAATCATTTGGCTACGTATTCTTTTTTTTATCTGAGGACTAGCTGAATTGACATTGAAACAAATAAAAAAAGGCTTAGTAACTGATTTGCTCGCCAAAGCAAAGATGACTTGTATGGAATAAAGAAAGGATCAATGAGTACACAAAAAATATCAGGTTTCTAATGCACCATTCCCTATCAAACATATTTGCAGAGTACCGAATAGAGAGGGGATGGTTCATAGAACTGTGGCTAGGAAGGGGCAGTCCTAAAAAATACAAAATGCATAAATGCATTAATGGCAAACATTCTGTCCACTGCAAAGAAAAGCATTTTGAGAATATAGCTGCTATTAGTTGTATAGTGTCTCCCTTCTTTTTATGTTGTTCTATAATGTTCTTTCTTAATACAAGTAAATCATTTATCTTTAGATATGCTTGATAAATGACTGGCTTTTTCATGTGATAAATAATAAAAAAACATGTTTATTGTGTGAAATGTAGTTTATTGATAAAACATCTTTTATAAATAAATAATTTTTCTTTTTGTTTTCCTTCATAGAATGACTAAAATCACTTTCTCTTCAAGAAATTGCAAATTCATACAAAAATGGTTGCTTTTGGAGTGGATGGAGTGTTCTCTAGTCACCCCTTCTCTACCGGGTACTCTGAGAACATGTCCGATAGATGGTGGTCCCTAAGGAAAAAAGGGTTGGTGCATAAGAAGCCTGAAAAAGATATACTTTATTTCAGTAAGTGACTACAGTTGTCTACTTTGCTCCCAAGATTAGCGGAAACAGCAAGGTCGAAAATCTTAATTTGGCCTAAATGGACAAGATAGGCCTCTGTATTGGTCATTTTTCTTACAGCCAAAAACTAATTAGTCATTTACCTCCCAACCTTGGCAGTATGGACCAATATTATTAGTACTTTATGAATAAGCCCATCTGTTCGGGCCAAGTTTTTTCGCCAACGTGACTATAAATGTATTATCGAATTCATCCGCCCACTCATTTGAAGCTACAGCATAACTGTTTGCTAGAATGTCAGTACCTATAATACTGTTTTTACACTTCAAATTCAGACGATGCTAGTTTTTTTCTGGACGAATCAAAATTAATTTCCAGATGCTCTTCTTGCCTATTTTGGACGAAATAAAAATGGAAATTAGACAGAAAAAGAATTAGCTTTTTGGATGAATGAGAGTTTACAATTAGACATTTAACTGTAAAGGGAAATCAATTGTTAGAGAAGCAATATCAAAATGACTGGTTATTGTGGTGTTTTGGGACTTTTTAAATAAAAAGATTGAATATAGAAATTATAAAAAAATAAAGAGACATGTAGAAAGTACTTTGAGACCGTTTATAAATGTTTATTAAGGTAAAAGTTCGAGAGAGATTTTTTATATTCTAGGTTTATATATGATTTGGATTATGTCCTTAGATGTAACCTGAGATAGGACTTGATGAGCTGAAGGTTATATTAGATGAGATAAGAGTATTGACTTTTTCAATAAAATATACTTTGCTAACCATCTTTACAGTTATTTATCATTCAAGATGAGATCTGTTTACTGGTTCCTGGATTATATGACTCTATTCCGTAGGAGTGTAAATGTTGATTCAGCTATATCATTGTTTAGAATGAACTCAGTTCTATTGCTATCAAACTATGACTAGCTGGCATAATAATAATAATATATGACAAATGTTCTTGTTATGAGAAAAGACTTATTTGTGATAGTATACTTTTTCTTATTTAAAGTTATTTATACCAGATCATCAACAATAGTTAGATTGACTTGTCTGTTATAATGTTTTTTTTAACGAGGTTCATCTTATTTAAAGAAAAATTAAGTTCTCCATCTGCTCCAACCCTTAGCAATAGGTCTGGCTCGTTTTTAAACGACAGAATACGGACAACAACTCTTGGTATGGGTAGGAGGGACTGATATAATGAGTTTCAAAAAATGCTGTCAATACCCGTGTCAATGATATGGGACAGTTTGGTTTTTATGAGCTTTCCTTTTTCTTTATTTTGATATATCAAACCTATCATGCATCGTGCAACTATATTCCTAAAAAAAAACAATCAGTTTATACAAATCGAATAGAAAAAAACGAATCTGAAGGTATACAAGTAGCTTTTCGTGCAGTAAAAGTCTAACTGACAATATCATTCGATTTAGATGCAACATGTTTGGACTGTGGTAAAAAAAGGCCACTGGTCAAAGAAATTCTACAAATGTCAATTATATACACAAGAAACTGGCCACGAAGGTATAATCATTAAGTGTTCAATTGATATGGCCATATTGGTCACTAAACCTATCTAATAGTTGATACCAGAAAGAGAAAGAGAAAGCAGCCCGAAATGCTGAAAAAATAAAAAGAGCAGCAAAACGTCAAAAGAATCAAGCTGAAGTTAATCCGGGGGTAATATGCAAGAAGTGTGAACTTTCTGGCCACTCTTCTGCACGTTCACCTCTCTGCTCATTTTACATTACGAGTAAGTCAAATACTATGCTTTAGAAACTTGGGTCAAATTACACTGTTTACGCTCGTAAATTACCTTTTCAAAATTGTGTCAAGGAAGAATATCAAAACATATTGAAGCAGAAAATAACCTCGTGTTGTAGCGCTGTAAGAGAGATAGTGTTTAGAGCCAAACTTTTTGTGAACTTGTATCTTTCGAAAACCCCAAGTGAATCCGTATCTGATGGTATTTTTCGGCAACAGTTTTGGTATCCTGTTCGTCAACTGGTGAACAATAGAGAACCTAAAAACACCAAGCTTCTGTCACAATTTTTTTTACAAGAATGGGATAACTTTAAAGCTGAAAATCCTAATGCCACTTTTAATGAATATTTGATTGGAGGAGCTAGCCAGTGCATCGCTGAGGCCTGCAAGGAGCTGGCAACCACCTACGAGAATGCAGTTGTAGAAAGACTTGAAAATATATTGAGAGGATTTTTGCAATATCAAATTCAAATTATGTTTGTTGTAAGAGCTAATAATCACATCCATTTACTCTAAATACTTAAATATTATGTATATAGTCCATGGCTCCGAAGGACGTCAATGATATTGTTATAAAATATGGATATCAGTATGTATGCCAAGGTGAAGCGGTGTGGCCTGAACAGAAATCACTTGAAGACCCTATGATCAAACGAAAAATTGATGAACTATGCCTGCCACTTAAAAGCAAACTCAATGCTAGAGTTAGTATAAAATCATTAGCTGATAACTCTGGCTTTTTTGTTCCTCCGTTGTTTCATATACTGGCTGTCTTTGAAAGGGAACATCAATCCCATAAAGCGTTTGACGTTAGAAGACTTCCTTTACCAAGGCTGTTCAATGTATTCCCTTCATCATCATGCCATTGGCGATCAGTGACAATTTCGGTCAATGCATTAGCAGCATTTCTTCCTGGTCAACCACTCCCCAGAGGGTATAATGATCAGCTGCATTTATTTTACAAGGTATTTGATTTTAAACCGCTTAGAACCAAATCGTAAGTACATGGTTGTAAAAAAAAATGATTTTATATAATAGTCATTTAAAATATGTTTATTATTAGGATTAAATCTTTATTACCCACTGGAACAAATAAGAGGCTCTTTGGTAACCTGATCAGATCAGACGGTTTTTCTGTTGGTTTTGTTTTTAACAAACGAACAATCACAGAAAAACGTTTAACCAAGCAAATCAATCAAGTTGATCTGATCCTGGATGGTTTTGAGCAGCATAAAGTTGGCAGCCACTATTTACCAATAGCCGTAGATCCAGGAAGAAAAAGGGTTTTCACTGTATTTGCTGGTTCAACTGGTAATATTAACAACTTCAGACAATGTTCCATCAAGGAATATTACCACTTGAAAGGCTCTACAAAACTCTCAGCAGAGCAAGAAAAGAAAAAGAAAGCATGCGGTATTAAGACGATTGAAACAAATATACCCACCAATAAGACTGCCAATGAATCACTGTATATGGAGTATGCCATTTATATGCTCGAAAACATTGGTCGTATTTTCAGCTTTTACAATCAAGAAACTGCAAAAGAAGCCTTTTTCTTATACCAGGGTCGTCAACGAGCACCGGAACGAATGGTGAAAATGTTGTTAGATGGTACCAAGAAATACAACAAGGAGTCAAGAGGAAACAAACGAAAAAGAACAAAAAACAAAGGGAAGTGGAAGAAGAAGGGGAATAAGTCCGGAAATAAGGATAAAGGAAAGAGAAAAATGGCACCGAAAACAACAGAAACAAGGTAAAAAGTTACTTGTGCATGGCTACGATAATTTTTATACTCATAAGTTTATGGTACTTGGAGAAAGCAATTTCTTTCAGTACAAACAGAAGGTACCACTGATAGTATTTGGTAGTGGCATGTTTGGGAAGGACCATGTGAAGATAAAAACGGTCCGGACTGGTGTCACTGGTATTCTATACAGAACGTTGAAAAGAAGAGAGAGGACTGGTGACTTACTCGTTGTGGACATTGATGAATATTTGACGTCCCAAATATGTTCCAAATGTGAAAGTAGGGCTTTGGGTGGTATTAGTGGTGCCCGCGGTAAAAGCGTTCTTGTTTGCAAGACGTGCAGAACATTATGACAGCGTGACATCAATGCTAGTTTGAATATGATAAACATTGCTAAGTCAATTTGGAAGGGTGAAGGCCGTCCAGAACGATTCAAGAGAAATTAAAAAGAAAAGAAGTAATCGCCGTAATGAACACGGTATTTCCTTCGGGAATTAAGATTGTTATAGGTAAAGTCATCTAACATACTATTGCACCTTCTCTAATAATTCTTCTCTTTCTGTTTAATTTCCATTTTTATTTCGTCCAAAATAGGTAAGAAGAGCATCTGGAAATTAATTTTGATTCGTCCAGAAAAAAACTAACATCGTCTGAATTCTAAGTATACAAGTATACTACCTAATAATGATTGTAAAACCAAATTTACAACCGCGGGATCATTGAATAACAGCTTACTCATTAATTCAGAACCAGATTTCCAGTTCCATGGTAAAGTAAATGAATTTATACCTTGAGAATAAAAAGTCAATTAATGATATATTCAGCGAAATGAGATTCATGCCTTCACCCGACATCCTTTTAGCTTTTTTTGGTTGTTTGAACAAAAAAGACTTCTAAAAGCGATTACGACCAAAGGGATATTTATAGACGTTTGTCGTTTAAAAAATAAAAAAGGACCATGTGCATATTAGAACTATGTTGGGATCATCGACATGTATTAAAACATCCTCCATCGGATCGTAAACTTTTGTCCCTCTTCCTAATGAAATATAACATAATGATGAATACTTTTTTTTTCTAAGAAGATGGATAGGAAAACATTTTTAATGAAGAAGAAAAACCAGTGTAGAAGATATGCGACAATTAGGCACAATCTTCCAGCCAATTTTAGTTAGCTAGTTCCGACCAAAGTGGATAAAAACAATTTAAACTCATGACATTTATTTTTGTCTTTCCACCATTTATTTTTGAGAAAACGCCAAATTCCGTAGATTTGACTGTACCAATGCAGGCATTGATAATCTTATAAAAGAGACTACAAAGGCTTCTTTATAGTAAAACTAAGTGTATAATATATCTATTTAATGAATGTCGTTTTCTTTGCAAAGCAATTAATAACGAAAGACCTATCTGTTGCTATAATTGAGATCAATAAGCAAGATACATTCGATAGATAAAAAAAGTGATTTTTAAAATACACATTGAAGTAAAAGAAGCGTTTCCCAAAGTTAATTATCGAAAATTGTTTTAGTTTTGTTAAGGAACCAAGGTAAGCAATAATCCAAAATGTAAGAGTACCAACAGCATTGTCGAGACAATATATAATAGAAGAATCTGTACGAAATATTTTATATCTCAAAGAAGAGCATGGTATACACAAAAACAAACTACGGATACAGCTTTGAGAGGTCCGTGCTTTTTAAATGAAACAACTAGCTTAGTTATTCTTATACCGGCGAAAAAAGGGGATAATCATGGTTAACTAGTTTGGCCTCGTTTACTTTCGTCGTTAATATTGATACAATTCGTATGACTGTAGTTTGTGTTTATACTACTTGATTACCAGAAACACTATTTCTATGCTTCAATGTATCTAAAGTCCCTCTGGTATTCAAATAAACAGAAAAATCTGCATAAGATGAATGAATCTACTCCTTAAATATAAGTGAAATACTATCTATCAGAAAGTAAGCAAACCTATATTTACATGCTGAAAAAGCCATCTGAAAAAACCCGATTTAGCTACTTCTTATATATTTTCTTCGTTTCAAGAGTGTGACGCAAAACAATGATTCTTGTACTAAAAAAATATAATGACTTTGTTTATGCAAACGAAACAAAAAGTAAAAATAAAGATAGGCACATGCACTTATGCTTAGATAACAATACAATAACAATTCCTTTTTCTATTGTTGCATCACTACTGTCTAAAAAGAATGCTTGATTGCGTCGTGTGTGTGTATATATATATATACTCAAAAATACCATTTTTTTCTTTATTAAGCTTTTCTTTTTTCCCTTCTTTCTTTTTCGTAGCTTATCTGTAACAAAGAAAAGCCAAAGAAGATGTGCTCTTCCGCAGTAACATCTCAACCTTTTGCTAATAAATCAAGCAATAGCAACAACACCAATTATTGCTTATTGCATAAAGTCTATTATTCTACTACCTGGTGTCCTTATTGTGGAAACAAACTTTGTAAGTTGATTTAAAGAGAAAACAGTATCTTAAATAGTCTTTATTTTTTCTTTTATAGAATGCACTATGGACCAATGTAAACTCTAGCTCATTCATGTATATCTTACAAATTGCGCACGACCGTTTATTTATTTATTTATTTATTTTAGCCTTAAAAAAAAGCATTCGATCAAGAAAAAAAAGTGGTAATAAATTTATTTTTTAAATCATTTGTCCTCTCTTTTTTTTCTCAATGCCCTATGACTTTTTATAATCGAATCTTCCGCGTAAAGCAATAGTCAAGCAGGATATCGTCAAAAGCTTATTAAGTCTACCTTCTTTACTAATATACCCTCTTATACATTTAGAAAAGCTTTGTGCATGTATGAATTACAAATACATGAACAATGTTGCCATGTCTTTTTAGAAATGCTCAAAAATTTATTGGCATGCATCTAAAACTCATATCTAAATATAGAAAATTGCAAAAAGCTATAAAGAGAACAGATCAGATATACACAGAGATAAACAGAATAATGGCTATTGCTCTTGTATGGTGCACTCTTCCTTTCTTTAATGTCTGTGTATCATCCAAACCAAAACAAATTGCTTTCTTAAAAGTAAAGAGTAAAAGAGCGATGCAAATTTCTTTAAATACTAAAAATATAAATAAAAAATAGGGTACAATGAACTTTAAATGTGTGTAATCAAGGCTATACAACCCTTTCTGAAACCTCTGATCCTTATTCGTAAATTAAAAGCTCAAAGCTTATGTAGTTTCTGAGCCATATGTATACCATACAATTTTTAATAAGGCTCTTATCTATAGTTTTCTTGAATTTATGCATTAAAGCATTATCATGCACATCCAGAATAGCTGTTGGAGCATCAGAAATTGAGCTTTTACTTATAATTAAAAGTTATAGCTATTTAGTTTTTGAGTCTATTTGTGTAAAAAATACAACAATTTTGCTGCTAAAATGTTGAGTAAATAGGCAAAAATGTTTCTGAGGTTTTCCACTCATATCTCATTGTTTTCATAGTACAATTAGCAAGCAAACACTTTGATCAAAAACTTTGTCTTTTTTTTTTTGCACATTTTGAATGTTTAAGCCTGACGATAGCTCTATTTTTTGTTCTGTAGCGTCTAAAAGAAAATTAAAAGTTGTCAATTTTTTTTGTTAGAGTGTTTTATTTATTGCTCCACATAGACGAATGTGAACCACTGTCAAGAGGTAGGCGCAAATTAAAATTTTATAATATGAATAAAATAAAGCAAAATAAAAGAATGTAGGAATAGAAGAGATTAAGTATGAGCTAGATGAGTTGAGTCATCTAGCTTCTTATCCGTTAGAGTCTTGAGTTTATGTGTTTCTCTGCTACTTGTAGCTGCAGATTAACACAAGTCTGTTGCAGTAATCTTTGGGGATCAAAGGGCACATTATCAAAGATAGATCTCCGGTGAGCCTTCCAAATTTCTGTTAATGCAGTAAACACCACATCTATTGCACTGCCATAATTATGTCATCGATAGTAAAAGTTGGCCACAGGAATTCAAAAATCAGTTCACGCCAAAAGAAAGCCTTGGGCGAACACATAAACAGTAAATGGTTAACATCTTCGGAATGGAGTGAACAGATCAAACATATCGAAGGTCGAAAGGTATCTGGAATAAAGCGATTTAGGCGGGTTCGGATGAGCAATTTATGTAAAATAAATTGATAAACCATATTTCTTGTTACAGAGAGCAACAACATGGCCCAGAATTCAGGCCAGAACTGTGAAGACCGGTTTTGCAAAATTGAAAGGACAGGTTGAAACTGATGGTAGCTTAAACAGTATGCCTTTGCCAACATGGACTTGATTGAATTGAAATTGTCAGGTAAATCAAGACAATTCACAAAAGACTGGAATGTAAGCATAGCAGTATATAGGGAAGTACCACATAAGTGCGATGGAACTTCTAAATGAGCAGCAAAGAAGGGAAATGGTTTCACATTATGCCTTTGAACAGTTTGGATTAATTTTTGTTGAGGGCCTCTCAGTTCTTCAAGAATATCAATTGCTGGTTTCCATTCAATGGCTTGTGTAGAAGGATTGAATGACATGAGACTACCAACAAGAAGATGACGACTAGCAATCGGGAGATATGAACGATTTGGGACAACTGAGTGCATGACAGCAATAAAAGGCGGGAGTAAGCAAGCCGCAGGATTCAGTTGCATCGTATTAAAATTACGAGGAATTCGATCCAAAGAAAAACAAAAGAGATGAATAGTGGATGTTCTTGTTTTAGGAGCAGAGGCAGACTTTTTGAATCTCTTAGTGTTTGGAAACAGCAAAGGAACCTGAATATGCGTCGCCCCAGTTGTATTCTGTAAGTGAATCTTCAAGAGCTTTCCCCACTGCACTTCAGTTGAATCTAGCAGTAGAGGCATTACCCATCGAAAATACAGCGCATTTATTTGTAAAAATAGATCTAGCACCCCTAGTTTACCAACGTCTTTTATCTGTGTACAAGTACTCCAAGCAATTTTCGGAAAAATATTTTTGTTCATGAAACGGCTTGCTAAGGGCTGGATACGAGAGAGCTCTGTCTTGGTAAAAGGAAACACACGAAGAAGGTACCAAAACTTGGAGAACATAAGGGTATTGATTACTATTGCTTGTCCCAATACCGATAGATTGCGTACAGAGTCCATGTTGAAGTGTTATTCTAGTTGGCCAGTAGATCAGCAAAAAAGGTGGCTCTTTGTTCTAGAGATTATAACAAAGGAAAGCCAAGGTACATTGTTAGTTGACTATTCTCAATTGCTGTTACTCGTTCAATTTGAAGCGGCAAAAGGTGTCTAGACCAAAATCAAAAGGAGTTTCTTCCTGATAGAGATACTGCTTCGA